ATTTTATCAAAATTTAAATTGATTTTTGATTAAATTTAAAATTTAAATAATTTAATAATTTTTAAAATATATATTTTTATAAATATTTTAAAATTAATAAATACCTTATTTTTCATCATAATAAGAAGTTTTAAAAATTATCTTACGTATCAAAAAAAAATCTATCCACATTAGCAATTGCTATATGGTAACTATATACGTTATAATATAATATAATATATATATATATATATATATATGATTATGAAATTTTTTTAACTCTACAAACAAAATTAAAAAATTGTCTCATGAGTTATGCCTATTATTTATTTATTTTTATTTTTAATATATTTTAATAAATATATTTCATTTTGCTAGTTTTACTCATAGAATCTAAAAATTTCATTAATAAAATATAAAATAATTTCTCATTTATAATTATCAAAAGACATACATTTTCCTTATTGATTTTTGGAGAAGTGTTTTAATTCTCTTTATCCAAATATCTCTCTCTAAAACTAGAAAAAAAAAATCTCTCTCTAAAAACTGAAAATTATGTCACAATAAAAAATTTTGGGCCATTGGATTGCAATTGCACCAAATCTAACAAGATTTTGATGGAAATCATACTGTCAAAGAATGTTTGGTCCATTATTGAACCAAAAAATCTAGTTCCAAACTCAAATGTATACCAAGTAGCACATAGTCCAAAGGGTTGGATAAAATTAGGGGGAAAAAACAATGGTGAATAGTGGTTGGGGCCAGGTGAGAGAGAACAGACCAAAGCACACTCCCATTATTGCAATTCAGTGTCCACAATATTTTCAACAAAGGGCTCCATCCGTTTGTCACTGGAGACTGCAAAATATTGATAGTTATCTTTCCTTTCAGCTCGTTGTGAACTTTCATGGGCCAATATTTTCTGCCAAACATTGCATCATTTTCACTTTTGAAAAATAGGGAATCCCTCAGTCTTCCGCTTCCTCCAGGATTCATTTTCATGGAAAAAGTTGTTTTGTCGTGGCATTCTTAAATTTATAGTAACATGGCATTTTGATTAGATGAAGATTAACTTATGATCATAGCCTCTTAATTTTTATTAGTAATAATGTGTTTACATTCCAAATCTAGATCTTGTATTAATCCTGGGTCCCTGCACGCAATAATTCCAAAGTTTTGTAGGGACTACATTTAAAAAAAAAAATCATTTTAAACAACAAAATTTTTTAAGATATGTTATAAATATTGTAAAACATATATAATTCAATGTAAATAGTGTTATATTGCAACAGTTTAGTAGATGTTACATTTTATAACAAAATTATATACAAATTTGTTGCTAACGTTTTATATACAAAATTATATTGCAATATAAAAGTATTATGTTGTGGTAAGTGTTGTAAACTATTTTTTCCAACAAAGATGTAAAAAAAAAAAATTTGTTGCAAATACTTTTAGTGACACAACTATTTATATCATAGCATAAATTTTTTGTTGCTAAATATCTCACTTGTTGTAGCGGTAATGTATGTCAACCGTCGAACTTCAAATTCATTGCACAATTTTATGTTTCCAAATCGATACTGAAACTTGTTACTTTGCATCTCAAAAGCTCACATTAATTTTCGCCACAAAAAAGTATGCATAACGTAAGAAAACTTTAATTAAATTGTCACTTTGCATATTTTACATGACGATATCTAACATCCATTAATTTCTTGGAATTGCCTATTTTACACCGGGTCGATTTCTCATTAGCATAGCTGGATATTGGAACATTCATTGTGTAAAAAACCATTATCTCTCATTTGCAAAGTTGACTATATTGAAAGCTGGCGAGATAGCAGGAAATGCTGGGTTGTTGAGATCGAGGGTTTCAAGTCATGGAAACTTGGCAACTTCACTGATGTGCCTTATGCCTCAAGTTTAATATGCTTGTTCCTTAAGTGAGAGTGGGTGTCTTGACAACTTCTAAGATCAACCATTCTTTTACTTGCTTTGGGCATTTGTTTCCTTTTCGTGTTAGTTTCTAGACAAACTTTTTGAATTAAGTTTTATATTTAAAATTATCAAAATTTAAATTTTAATCATTAAAATTAAAAATCAAACGCTCTGTTAACAAATCACTCAAACCAATTCTTTGAATAATTTAAGATCTCTTTCCCCCTTATAAAAAACAAATCTTGAAGATTTTCCAGTATTTTGAGACTTTGGGAAGCACAATAAACATTCTTAAATTAGATGTTTAATGGCAGGCTGTGTAACATCAATCAGGGCACTGACGGTTTCCAAAATTAATAAACCCATTAAAGAAAAGTAGAAAACATAAAATCTGTTATCAAAATTCGCATCCAAACCAAAAAATAATTGAAGCCGAGACTGCTCAAGGCCTTGTGGGACCTAAATTTAATTCTTCTTTTGTTGTTTCAATTATTTTATGCAGAGTGGTCTGATCAGACCCTGTAAGGTTGTGGGTAGATAGACTTGGTTGAAATTTCATGGGGCCTTTTGGATCTCTGCCACAGTGTCTTGAATGGGCTGATGATTTGGGACGAGTTGCGTTTGTAGGCTATTTACTCCCTTTCCTAGTTTCCGTGTTACCAATAGGATTCAACTAGAGTTAGCAATGGGTAAATTTTTATTCGTTTTGAATTTAATTTGATTTTATATTTATTAAATTTAAATTTAAATTAATTTAAATTTTTTTTATATTTTATTTGATTTGATATTGTATAAATCATATTTAATTTAATTTGAAATTAATAAAATATTATTTTTTAATATAAATATTTAAATATATAATTATATAAATATAATTTATTAAAAAATTATTTTTTAATAATTTTTTATATAATATTAGATTGAGTGAATTTATTTAAAATTTAAATTTGATTTAATTTCGATTTTTTTTATTTTATTGACTCAACTCAAAACTTAATTTTCAAAATAAAAAATTTCAATCCTATAAAATCATGTTGAATTAAAATTTATCAAGAACAGATTGAATTGCCACATTAGATTCAGCCACTAAAACTTTGCTCATTGAACTTGAAAAACTGTTCTTCCTACCCGTGTACGAGGAAAGAAAGAATATAGTGATAAATGCTTCCATTTTGACCGTTATTTCATTTGATTACGTCTTTACCTTTAAGATAGTGATGTTAAATTTGAATTTGAATTTTTAATATTTATAATTATTTTTAAGGAAACTAAATGTATCCCAATTTTTCTTTTTACATTCTATTTTTTAAAAAATTTATTTTGTAAATGAAATTATTTAATTATTTTTTTCATAACTTTTTAAAATTTTATAATTTTTCAAAAAGTCATATGAAATTATATTTCCAGAAAATCATAATTTTTTTCAAAAATAAAAATTCAAAAAGTCATATTACTCGTCAAAAATGAAAATTTAAGAAAAATTATAAAAAAAAAGAAAATTTTTGAAATTTTTGTTAATTAGTGTAATGAAAAAATAATTATTAAAAAATCATAAATTTTAAAATTAATAAAAAATTAATTTACTATTTTTATTTTTTATAAATTAAAAATTCATATTTAAAAATTTTTTTAATATCGATTATTAAAGTTTTATAATGACTATATTTAAATTAAATTTTTTCCAAAAATCTCTCTGACTATTTATCATGATTAGTTTACCTAATTATCATATTAGATTTTGATAAAATTATATAATATTAAGTAATATTACTTGTACAACTTTTAAGAATTTTAGCTTTAAGATATTGATTAAATTTGATAGTTTTTTTATCATTTTTTGTAACAATATGAGACGAAATATTTAATTAAAATTTTATTATTTTTTTAAAATTAAAATAGTAAAATTAATTTATTTTTATTAATTTTAAAATTTATGATTTTTTAAAAATAATTTTTTATTACACTAATTAATAAAATTTTAATTTTTTTAATTTTTCTTAAAATTTTATTATCTCACCTCTCAAAAGTGAATTTTTGAGAAAAAAATATTTTCAAAAATTTATGTGAAATAGAAAAGATAATTAAATAATTTTATTTTAAAAAATTTAAAAAAACTGAAGTGTAAAAAAAAAAAAAAACTGAAATGCATGTAGTCCCCCTTTTTTTTTTGGTCGAGCTACATTTATATATATATAAAAAATATATAAATATATAAAAATGTTTTTAAATTTAATTAAGATCAAATATGTTAATATATTAATTTAATTTTCAATTATATTCGAAGTTGGAGCAACCTATCAATCTTAAATTTTTTTTTTAAAAAAACAAATATAGGCTACTATATATGTAATGTTGATGTTACGACTTAAGTTGGTGTCATACTAAGTGTTGTTAGTTTTGAACAACTTAAAATATGCTGGAATATATTTTTCTCACAAAGGAGTTCTTATGCTTTTTATTATTGTTTTTCTAATCGAGCATAGAGCTTTGGATGCTATCTGTTGCCACCATATCTGAGAATAAACAAGAGTTGCTATGTGACGAATGGAAGGTGGGATAATTTTGGGAGTTGACAGACCCACCCGCCATGTCGCAAGAACAGACCTGCAATGAAACCATCAACAGACAGGCAAAAACAATTTAGTGGAGCTCAATGATGTAAGTTGAGAAGCATTTAGTGGAGCCCAACAAGGCAACAACAAACAAAAGACCCAAACCAAAATCACAAAGCTTAATCTGTCTGATTTTTCATCACGTTTTCATCAACTACCCTGTATCCTTACTTGTTACTATTTGCCCACCCATCAATTATTCCTCACCCTCTGTAAATGTCTTTGACAAAAAAATCACAGTTAGCAAATAAAAAAAATTATACATAATTAAATTTCTTTATATAATTATTTTAGATAATATTTAATAATTTTAAATTTTATTCTTGTACTATTATATTCTTTTTCATAAAAAAATATATATATATGCAATAATTTCTAGTCTCTGTCTTTGATTAAAGAGTAATTGGTGGGGGACATTAGCTTTAAGCATTTGAAATAATCCTCTTAAGTCATTGACCAATCAATTTCAAGTTTGCTACTGTGTCACGTCTTCAATGAACATCCCGTGCCATGACAAGATTGGGCCCCCAATTTTCACCCAAATAAACCATTTAAAATTTTTTTTTCCGCCCTCAAATAATGACAAAATAAATCAGAAAAACAATTTAAGAGAGAGTCCTGACCCTGAGGTTAGGTTCTCTCATTCATTTCTATGCCAGAATTTAACTTCTCCTGACTTCTGACAAAGGATTTTCCTCACCAAGCAGAAAACTTGTTTGAATTTAAGGTAACGCATCTTAATATTCTCCAAGATTCAAACTTTTCTATGTTTTTTTTATCGTCCCATTGATTTAAACTCAATGCTTCCATCATTTCTTTGAATTTGGGTTTACAAGATTATCATGCGTGGATCTGATTAAAAATTGGGGGGGGGGGGGTTTAATTTTTTATCTGAAGTACGCTTCTGGTATTGTTCAGTTATTTGGTTTATTAATTGGGTTTCTGTGATTTGCTGTGTGGTACTTGATTCATTGTTTTCAGCTTGAAAGCTAGGATTTTTGCGTGTAAAACGACTTGCATTGGGACATTCAGCTTGGTTTTTAGATAAGAAACAACATTGGGTTGCTTTATTTCGAGAATTAATAGCTACGGATGGTGTTGAGGAATTATCTGCTCGGTACTTGAATTCATTATTTGAGCTTGAAAGCTAGGGTCTTTGGGCTCGGTTTTAATTAAAAAAACAACATTGGGTTGCTTAAGGTTTTGAGGATTAATAGCTATGGATGGTGTTGGAGAATCATCTGAATCTGGGTCTGGAGAATCAAGTTCCCACTTAATAAAAAATGAGGCTTTTCGTGATGAAGAGAGTTGTCCTAAACAAGTGTCACCTATTAGGGGCGGTGGGTCGAGGAATACAAGCCCGTTGGGTCGTGTAGGATCGAGGAACACTAGTCCGTCTAGGCAGAAGGTGATAAAGACTAAACCACGGGGCTTAGATGAGGAAACAGTTGCTACATTTGGTAAGGCGGTTCATCCTGATGTTCAAATGGAGGATAACATATGGGCAATGTTGCCTGAGGACTTACTGAATGAAATTTTGGCTAGGGTTCCTCCATTTATGATATTTCGGCTTCGTTCAGTTTGTAAACGATGGAACTCAATACTTCAAGATAATAGTTTTCTTAAGTTTCACTCACAAGTGCCTTCTCATGGGCCTTGTCTACTTACATTTTGGAAGAACTCACAGACTCCACAATGCTCCATTTTTAGCTTGCCATTAAAAACTTGGTATAGAGTTCCCTTTAATTTTTTGCCTCAGTGGGCCTTCTGGTTGGTTGGCTCTTCTGGTGGTCTAGTTTGCTTTTCTGGACTAGATGGTCTAACTTTCAAAACTTTAGTATGTAATCCTCTTACACAAACTTGGAGAACACTGCCAAGCATGAATTATAACCAGCAAAGACAATTGATTATGGTTGTGGATCGAACAGATAAATCTTTTAAGGTTATAGCCACAAGTGATATTTATGGTGATAAGTCACTGCCCACTGAAGTCTATGATTCAAAGATTGATACGTGGACAGTCCACCAGATAATGCCTGCTGTTAATCTTTGCTCCTCAAAGATGGCGTATTGTGACTCCAGGTTGTATTTGGAAACCCTTTCACCACTTGGTTTGATGATGTATCGACTGGATTCAGGATATTGGGAGCATATTCCAGCAAAGTTCCCAAGATCTTTGTTAGATGGTTATTTGGTTACCGGGACACAGAAGCGCCTGTTTCTGGTTGGAAGAATTGGTCTTTATAGCACTCTACAGAGTATGAGAATTTGGGAATTGGATCATGCTAAGATTATGTGGGTGGAGATAAGTAGAATGCCACCTAAGTATTTTCGAGCTTTGTTGAGGCTATCAGCTGAGAGATTTGAGTGCTTTGGACAGGATAATCTTATATGCTTCACATCCTGGAACCAAGGGAAGGGCCTCCTTTATGATGTGGATAAAAAGGTTTGGTCTTGGATTGCTGGCTGTGCTCTTCAGTCATACAATAGTCAGGTTTGCTTTTATGAGCCAAGATTTGATGCTTCTGTCCACTGAGGTGGAAAATTTGCTTAAGGAGATTTGTGTTCATGAGCTGTTGAGAGGTTAACATGCAGCAAAAAACTCCTCTTTCTTTTGTAAGAAATGAATGATATCAACTTTTGTACTATCCTTTTTCCCCCGTCCTGCACATATACTGGAATTACTTCTCACTTGTTGGTGGATTGTGAATCAAGTGGAATCCAGTGGTCCTTGCTACTGCATCAGCATCTTAAGCATATCCCTTTGAAGCTGTTTCTATCACCAAGGTTTTTGGCGCAATTGGTGATATCATTCCATATGAGACTCAATGATCCACATTGACACTGGGCAGACTTGTATTTTGATGACTAGATGAGGGCTGGGCTTCTTGAAGGTGTATATCATGGGAATGATTTTTGGAGAAGAATTGGAAGAAATTTTTATTTTTATGGTAGCCTTTGCATACTTACTTAACGTTTGGTACATTGGCAGTTCCATTTCAAAATGTTATTTTACTTTCCTTGCCTGTTGATTTATATCCTGATGTCTGACTAATGTGATTTTGCTGTCTTCATCACAGCTTGTACACATTGTACTTTCGATGTTGTTAACTCTTTCAGTTCTCTAGAAGGATTTCTCCCCTTTTATTGATTTGGGAACTCTTCTCGACCCTCTTTACTTTTTTTTTCCTTAAATAAATCTAATAAGGCTGTTTAAATTCTTTTTAGACGTCATTTGCTAGAAATTTACCACAATTCCAATAATAACAAAATGGTGCCTTTTCATGATCTTCGAAAATGATTTGGAGCATCCTTGGATTATGCTGGAAGTTATACTATTATTGTTTCTCATAAAAAAAAAATGGACCACTTGAGTTTGGTTATGATCTGTGATGAGTTAATCCAATCTGGTGGTTTCTCTGACACCATATAATGTGTTGTATTTTGCTGCACCAAATGAATCAACATCATGCTTTATCCTTTTGCATTAGCTTTCATATCGAGAAAGCTTCGCGAAAACCTTCTAGGATATTCAACCTAGAAATTTTCTAGGAGTTTCACTTTCACTAAATGGAAATATGAAGGTCATTTCCCCTGAAATATATCTTAGAACTTGTTCTGTATGTATTCTAGAGCAGAGTGTCTTTGTTAAGTTCTATAGTCACAATGCGAAAGATTAAATCTGACTAAATCTTTTAGTTTTTTGGAGTCACATGTAACTGGTACTGCTTCCGTTCTTTATAATCATTAGTCTGGCCTGTTAGCTTTTGTTGTATAATGAAGGTTAGTTGCATGGTGCTTCTTGCTTTGGATGATCACCTTTTCTCGTACTTAAGTGATCCACTTTGTTCTTATTGACTTAAAGTGAGAATATGCTTTATTGAGTCAACAGGAGTAATTAAATCATTTTACATATACAAGATTTGGGTTTGGTGAGGATGAAGTAGTAATAGAATTTTGCTAGTAATAAAATTTTTCCACAGAGCAGCCTTTACAGTTTGGTAGCTTCACAAACGAGCTAAACAATTGAAACTGTAGTAACGATGACAGTCCATGTAATTTTTCTGTAGTTTGCAGTTTGACAATGTGGAAATCTGATCTTCATTATTGTTTGATTAGTTGATTTTATCTATTTTAGTTAGGTATCTTATTTTTAGAATAAGAAGTGATTTGGGTTATTATACCAAATTCATTAGATATTTTCTTATCATGTGCAGAGAATAAATTACTCTTTTGATTAGCGGTTTTAATACATGAAAATCTCAGGTTTTAAGGCTGAGAATATTCAATCTTTAACCTATATATTTTTATGTAATTCTAGTATTGTAATAAGAAACATATAAAAAAATAAAATAGTTTTTTTATAGAGATTTTTTCATGGTATCAGAGTTAAGATTTTCTTTTGTTGTCTTTTATAAATTTGTCACGTGATAGGTTTTTTCTATTTCTACCTACACATGATGGGATCTTGTTAAAGTGGTGTTATCCAGCATATAATAAATATTTAATTTCTTGTAATCTTATATTTAAGTTGGACTCTTTCACTTACTGTTAATTAGTTTTAAGTTGGATGTTTAACAGACAACTACTATATGCTCATGCATTGCATCTGGTTTCAATCGGTGAAGCAGTTTCATCTATAACTGCATTGGCTGTTTGAGTTGAATGAATAATGATATTCTGTTTCAGCATCATTGCTGCTGAGGAAGGCTGGTAAGATCCCCTTCATTACCTCCTATGTACAACAACCAACTTTGATTGGAAGTGAAGATGAAACTTAAGATCTGGTGCTAACGGGGCTGGGTTGAGTCATAGTTGCCATTGAGCGGTGACCGGTAATGGACTAAATAAATAACAAAAAACTGCCAATTGTTATATCCATTTCCTGTAGTTTAGTGCATATTTTTATCTTTATGAAAACCGATATTTGGATTGGAATGATTAGTAAACAATTCTTCAAATTTGAGAACATTTGTTGTTTTGGATAGAACTGTTAAAATAGGATAACAATGGCCTTGGTGGTAGGAAACCTCTAAATCCTCATTGTTGGTTCTGTGAATTGAATGTCTTATTTAAGTAATATCTTGTTGAGGATTGCGTTTTTTAAACCACGTCTAGAAGGATTTTGACGATGTTGCAAATCAAAGTACAGATGTTTGATTAAAAGAAGCAGACAAGTTCTTAGTTGGTCAGCTTAGCTGCTGTTACTGATTACTGTGGATAGTAACTTGGATGCAGCTGCGAAGTGTTCATGCTCCAGCTGGAACCACTTCCGTACTAGCAGGGTCGATCTTTTTGTTAAGTAGAACAAAATGATTCTGTTGTGGTGTGTATTTATTTTAGGGTTAATGGTAAATTTTGCTATAATATTATGGTTCAATAATGAATTTGTCACTATTTTCAATTTCGATGAATTTTGCCATTATACTTTAAATTTTATTGAATTTTGCCCTTGTACTTTCTATTTCGTTGATTATTGGATGAAAGTAACGGAATCAAATTATTTCATAGAACATTTTGTTAATACAAAAGCAAATTTTTTTGTTGCATTTTCAATTTGGCTAATTTTTCTTATTTCATTTTTAGAAATCAACAACACTGAAAATACTATGGCAAAATTCAAAAAAATTGAAAGTATAATGGTAAAATTTAACAAAAGGAGAGAGGAAAATTTCGGATCGACCTATAGTACAGGGTTGGAATTTACCTTTATCCCTTTATTTGACTATTCCTCAATCTGAAACATATTTGATTGACCAGAGAAGTAAAAGGCACCTGGAACAGAAGTTTTGGAGGGTTTGAAACAACTGAATAAACCATTGATCATCCTCAACGCTTTCAATTTTTTCAATTCTTTTCTCTTTTATTTTTTTTATTTTTTTATTCTCTCTACAGAAGGTATTAATGGAGTTTGTGTAGGGAATTTATGAACAATCTGCTAGCAATTAAATGCAGTTCACACCTTTGAAGACACTCCAAAACAATTACTTCTTATCATATTCAGTTTTATGTTTGCTTCGCTTTCCATTCTTTGCCTTCATTCTTGTATTGTTGTGGAGCAAACCAATGGAAAGTTTTGCTCAAAATTTTTCAAGGTTTTTCCTCGGGGACCATCCATGGAGAATGGACAGGGAAAGAGCTGCAGGATAAACTCCACTCTTTCAACAATGACAAAGAATATGGCAGGTGGTGGTAGGTGAATATTGGTTGATTTTGATAAAATACAAAGCAATAATATATATAATATTGGAAAATAAACTCGTGAATATTGGTTGATGCTTCAATGTAATTTCTATTACAAGTGTCCATGGCGGCTAATCAGATTGTCTTGAATGAAGATTCGAAGATATTTCAATGTAAATGACATTCTTGTGACCAAATATTTTTATGGTGTCAAAGAAGAAACAGAGGCAATCTAAAGGGAATCATTTCTTGGATTGTCAAACAATTTCTTGACAACTACAAATTGATGAGAAAAGCAAACATTACAGTCAAATTAATACTATAATTAATTAAGGTTACTGTTCCACATGTGAAATTGTCCTTAGAAAATTGAACATCAAATTCCAAAAAATCAGCTCCTTTGGCGTGGCGGTGCTTTCAGGGAGACAACAGTAGTCACCCACATGAACTCGGATTTCCCTTAAACCTCAAAGGACCAAATTCTGTACACTAAAAGGGATTGCAAATAATTTCTTTGTAATAAAAAGCACAGTCAAAATTGTCTTTTTGGTAAGTGGCGGTGGATTTGTACAAATAGAAGTATTCATCAACAGGTTTCAAGATCAAAGACATGACATTGGGAAATGGAGCCACACTGTTGTTTTCCAGGTGTCCAAATCTACTTTATTTTATTCTTTGTGAGCTTAAGATTTCGAGGAGCGAAAGAACATTGTATACAGGAAAATTTTTGTTAAGGAGACCAAATGTCAATTTGGATTTTGATGCAAACCTGGAACTAAAGTACAGTAGCATTGAGTGAGAGCATTGGAGATGTACTAAAGACTAATGTATCTTTTGTATGGCTGATGAGAAGAATTCAATGACATAACGATATAATGATGAAATTAAATTTTTTTTTTTCATGGATCGTGTAAATGAAACATAAATGAACTAAAAAGTAACAGGTTTATTGAATTTGTGATTGGCGCTGGTTTTTTGGATCTTGAATACAACTGTCTGAATCAACTGCCAAACTTATGGAATAAAAGATTTTTGATAATTATAAGAAAAAAATCTAATTTGCATGCATGGGAAAATCTTATACCAGCTATGCTTTTCTTTTTGATAATTCGAATTTTGGCTATCGTAAAATTCATTTCTTTGACTTTATTTTGGAGGTAACAAAATCAAGCTGCTAGTACCTTATTCTTTCCTATTATATAATTGTAACATAATTTTTTTTTCAGGTTTAATCATTCAGAAATGGTTTTGATACACACGGCCGTCATTAATTTGGAAAACCAAAATGAATTAGCTCACTTGAGCATTAATGGAAATTCCGATCCATTTTCTTTAAGTTGGAGAATCAATTAACCATGGAACCGACTTGGGTAATTAAGGAGGTCACACTATTCTCAAGATCAGGTGACCACAAGCATCAACTTGGAGGATACTCCCTTGTGTTCTAAACTGTTAAACACTAATAATATTAATTTATTTTTTTTATGCTCAAATTTATAAATACATGGTTAAATTAAAGATGACATGCTTTAGTAATTCTATGCATCACTCACTTGCCCATGTTACCCCAAGCTCGTAATTTGATGCCATGGGAATGCTTCTTTGGGAACTCTGCATCATATTATTTTTGTCCTGGCTTAGTTGCTATTTTCACCTTCTTCCCTCTTACATTTATTGGAACTTAATTTTTGCTAACAGTCAATTAAGTCTTGTCCTAATAATAAGGAGGAGATATTGAAATTTCAAATTCTCAAATTTAATTTTATCATATATGATTTAGATTAAAATTTTTTTTGTCAATTCAAAACTTTATATTCATTAAAACCAATTCAGTACACTTTCAAACTCATCTATTGCAACACACAGATAGCTACTGAGATATACAACTGAACCTCCTGCATATCTTTATACTTTTACTGCTCAACTACGGAGGGACAGGTAATCCATCTTTGTCAAGTATGAACACCAAAGAAGATGGGGGTGCATTTACCCAGTTACTCAAGCATATATTATTTCTAAATTGGACAGCTATCCAATCCGTCGCTTTATTAGCTTTTCTATCTACACATACAACCTGTAATTCCTTCATTCTCCTAATGCCTGCTAATATGTCTTGAACCACTGGCTTGATTCTCCACTCATGTTCTGTGCTTGTTAAACTAATATGCTTATAAAGAATCTCAGAATCCATTTTCAATACCACTTTTGGGTATTTTTGCCTAGTGCTAACCACAGACGTTCCCTTACTACTATAGCTTCAGCTTCTATGCTAGATTTCGCACAAATTACTCTGCCAGTTCCTCCTATCAACTTTCTACCTTGATCCCTTATTACGACACCAATTCCAGCAGACAATGGATTTTTTTAAAATGCTTCATCGCAGTTTACTTTAACCTATCCAATATCAGGCCTCACCCACTTATTTGGTTTTCCTAACTTTGGATGGCCTATTTTCCTCCTGCCACATCCAATCTAGGCATCCATAAACTCCATTATTGCAGCCTGTGCTATTCTCACTGTAGTTAGCATGTCAGGTTTCCTCATATTTTGGTTTGCATTACATCTTCCTTTCTAGATATACTAGCACATAAATGGGATTGCAACTGCTGAGTAGCTCTTTTCTTCCTCCTTTATGTCCCCCATTGTTAATACTTCCTTAAGCTAGCAATCAACAGTTGTGATTCTACTTTTGTGAGCCTTATACCCCAGTCCTGACTTAAACCACACACACCTCATCCATTCACATAATAATAAAACATGTTCAACCGTTTCTTCCCTTTTCCCACATATAGCACATATTGGCTCCTCACATATTTTTCGTTTCCATAGATTCTTCCTTGTTGCTAAAGCATTAGGGCAGACTCTCTATAAAAAATTGCTTATTTTATGTGAAAATTTTTTCCATAGCAAGCACCATCCCTCATTGTCCACCTGATGTGAAGACGATTGTTTTGGCATGCATTTTTGCATTTCTCTTTCTTTACATGCATGGTAGCCACTCCTTACAGTATAAATGCAATTACCTACTAATGGCCACACTATTCAACCCTCACCGCT